GAGGAGGAGGACGAAGGAGGAGGAGGAGGAGGAGGAGGAGGAGGAGGAGGAGGAGGAGGAGGAGGAGGAGGAGGAGGAGGACTATTTTCTAGTGGTCTTCGGCTCATCCCGCTACTATGCACTATGCCTGGGTGGTGGGTCCGAGTCCTCAGGGATGTTTCGTGGTTTTTTTTCGGAGGGCTCTCTGGGGCCTTCGGATGAAGAGTTCTGGGGAATCTGGAGAAGTCCTAATGATTCCGCGGAACTCTGGAGGTTTCTTGTGGAATATGGGAAAGCTGGAGCATTCCAATGGAATCCTGAGGTGTCCAAAGGAATCCTCGGGTGTTTTGGATATTGGAGGAAGCCTCAGGAACTTGCTGGAATCGGAAGGAGTCCTGAGGAATCATCGGAGAATCGTAAGGACGTTGGAGGAATCTGGAACCTTGAAGAACCCCAGCAAATGATAATGAATCCGGTGAATGTGCAGGAACCCTGGGGAACCCAACGGAACCCAGATAGTGCTTCAGAATGTAAAGGAACCCCGCGGAAGCTGGAATCATTTCAAAGCATCCAAAGGGATCCAAACGAAGTTAGGGGAATCCAGCGAAAGGGGCAGCCCGAATAGGCATTCGCTGGGGGCGAGCGAGCCGGAAGGGTGATCCCCAGTGTGCCATTTGAAAGTGGGTCGCCTACTGTCAAATTGGCAATCGGGCGGACCAAGCCAGAGCGGCGGGAAATGAGCCCCGATCGCCCAATTGACAGTGGGGGCTCCACTGTCAGGGGGGACACCAGGAAACCCGGTTCGCCATTAGAAAGTGGAGAATCCTTTATCCCCCCCAGTGTCACATGGACAATTGGGGGTGGTTTCGTCGATTGCGATTTTTTTGACAATTGGCCACCCCCTGCCAAACTATGCATCACCGCTCGAGCGACCCCAAATTCTCAGTTTGGGGTACACGGGGGGGGATATGGGGAGGAACATTTCACACGCCTAGAGACCCACAAGGGGTCGGCGGATTTGGCAACACAAGCAACATGGCTTCTCAGATGTATGCCGTCCACGGAATATAACGTTGCATCAGGGTCTCGCTGCATCAGAACTATTGTGCATTGATGTCAGTATGTTTGTAGGGGCATGATAAGGGGACTCTGCGGGGCAGTTTTGGGTGGCCTCAGGAAAACAAAATCTGTCTGGGACTCTTTGGGGGCCAGGTTCCTGGCGAGCTCGCGGGGAATCCTCTCCTGCCTTCCTCCCTCAGCGGAGGGGGAAATGGAGGAGGGGGACAGCCACACCTCTCACACGTCTTCCAACACCGCGCAAGAGGGGGTCGGCGGACTTTGCTGTGCCTTCAGGGGGATTCCCACGCCTCGGCATTGCCCTCTGATCATCATCCATGGTTGGTTCGCTTTTCCAGGTACACTTGGCGTGCCCCCTCATGGAGCTCCTTTCTGGTCCTCGCCTCCTCGCCCCTTCCCCATTGGCAGCGTCGCGTTTCTGCCTCCTCTGGCCACCACGGGGCTCCCCGCTCGGCGCCGCGTTTGGGCGCCGTCCAAGACGCCCCTTTGAGAGCGGTGCCCCCGAGGGGTTCCGGGGGCCGATGTCGAGTTGACGTCGAGCTCCGCGGCTGGTGTCCAGCTCTGGCCGGGCGCCGCCGGGGCCCGTGCTGGCCGCGGCGATGGAGAGCCGCCGTGGCGGGGGGGCGCACGCCCGAGGCCTCGGCGTGCGCCGCGCCGCGGCGGCGGCGGCGGTCTGGCGAGCCGGGGCCGCGGCGAGCGGCGAGGGCGGGGACTACGGCGCGCTGGGCGGCGCCGTCGCGGCCGCGCGTGGCCTGTGGCGGCCCAGCGTGGCGCCGCCTCGGCCGCCCGCTGCCGGCGCGGCGGAGGGCGCGCTGGCGCTGGAGGAGGCGGCCGCGGTGCTGCGGGCGGCGGCGGGCGCCCCGGGCCTCGGAGAGCTGTCGGCGGCCCGTGCGCTCAGCGAGCTGGCGCTCCTTCGGTCCCTGGCGGCGCACGCGGCCGCGGAGCCACCGCCGCCGCTGTCCGCTGGCAACGTCAGCGCTGGGCTCGGCCTGGCGCCCTGGGTCCGGGCGTCCGCGGCGCAGCTGCGGAGGCTCGCCGAGGCCCTGCCGGGGGACCGCCTGGTGATCGCGCTCGGTCATCTGACGCTGAGCGCCCTCAAATTTGGGGCCCTAAGGCCTGGCCCTGACGGCCTCGCGCGCACCATTGGGTCCTCCACGCTGGGGCAGGCGTGGTGGCTGGGGCGTCAGGCAGCTGGCGCCACGGTGCGCCGCATCTGCGAGGTGGGTTTCAACGCGGGCCACTCGGCCTTCGCCTTCCTGGCCAGTGCCCCAGCCGCTAGCTTGATCTCCTTCGACCTTGGTGCGATGTCGTACACTTCGGCCTGCGCCCAGCTGGTGCGGCTCGCGTTTCCTCGCAGTGGCCGCTTCAGGCTCGTGGTCGGGCCATCGAACGAGACCCTGCCAGAGTTCGTGCGCGAACGCCCGCGCGAGCCCCGCTGTGACCTCATCTTTGTTGACGGGGGCCACGAGCGCGCAGAGGCGCAGAGCGACCTGCTGTGGATGTCCCACCTGGCCGAGCGCGGGCGCTCGCTGGTGGTCATGGACGACGTGGGCTGCCCGAGCCCCGAGTGCGATGGGCCCACAGCGGTTTGGGAGGAGCTTCGCGCTGGCGGGCGCCTGCGCGAGCTTGGCTGCGAGGCCGATAGCGGGCACCGATGGTGCTGGGGCACGTACGTGTGATCGCAGCGGCGGCGGCGAGAAATCGACACCCACCGCTGCCTCCCGGCGGGCGGGGCCTACTTCTCGGCGGCGAACGGGGGGGAAGTGAGAAGGAGAATGCCCTCTCTGAAGGCGGCGGGACTTCTCAGAAGCCCCCCAGCCTTCTGAGAAGTTTTCTTCTGTGTCTTCGGGGAAGGCTCAGAAAACTTCTCGGAAGGCCAGAGGACCACCGAGCAATCTGAGGAGGCCCGCCCCTTCTCACTTCCCTCCTGGGATCGCCGCCGAACTTCGTGCCCGCTACACCCAGGCAGGCCCAGGGCACACTGGGACACGTGCTGCCGTGCTGCGTGCCCCCCGAGCGGCTGCTCGAGCTGGCGCGCAAGGCCGGCCGCAAGGCCGGCCGCAGAAGCCACGACTGCGTGGACCGCGGACCGACGATGGACCAGATCAGGTGCTCCGTGGAAGTCCCCCAGGGCAGAATCGGGGGCAGTGCCAGGTCTAGGCCTCCCAGATGGGGTCGGAGTAGATGGAGTCGGAGGATCGCGCCGCATCGCCGATACATCGGCGATGCTGCTCGATGCGGAGCCCGATTTCTCGACGTCGACGTCGCCGATGCAGTGTCAGGGGGGATAGGCTCACGGGGGACGCATCGATCGAAGAAGAACATAGCAACATAAATACAATCTTTTGGCGCTCCGCTTGGATCTCTTGGACCGCTATGGCGCCGCCTCTTGCGCGCTCCGCGCGCAAGGGAGGGGGGCTCCGCGCGCAAGGAAGGGGGGCTCAAAGCAGAGCCAAGAAGTCCGCTCGGAGCGCCAAAAGCTTACGTTTACTCCAGATTTCGTAATAAAAGGGAGGGGGTCTGGACCCTCCAAGACAAGCCATTTCAGACCCCCCCCCGTGGGAGAACCCTCCAAAACATCGTCCCCAGACCCCCCAGGCCCTCCAAGATAGCCTGGAAGAGACCCCCCCCGAAATGAGACCCCCCTCCCTTTATTACGAAATCTGGAGTATGCCGGTTGCTCGTTGTCCAATCGATCCCCGGCCGCCCACTCCTCGCCGACACGGGCCCGACAGCCCCCGGCCTGCCCAGGAGCGTGCGGCCTCGCAGCCGGGGGCCCATTCGCCCATCTCTCGGCCGTGCGTCGCCGGCCCGGGGGCGAGGCCTTCCCGCCCCCCCGGGGGCTGGCCCTCGGAGGGCACCAACTATACACCAACACCGATCCTGGCCAGGATCACCCTGGGCCCAGAATCGGTGTATATGCCTTCTTGCCCAAGGCAGGAGGGCGTATACACCGACCCTGGGCCCAAGGTGATCCTGGTCAGGGGTCCTCCTAGGCCCCCCCAGAAGTCGTGGGGTCTCAGGGTTGGAGGGTCGCCGGCTCCTTCGGCAACCGAGGCTCCAGGAGCGAGGCTCGATCAGGAGGAGATTATCCCAGTGCGACCCTACCTAGGAGTTGGAGCATCTGGGAAAGCAACATCTACATCTACACCGACAGCTACATTAACATCTGCACCTGCATCTACATCTACATGAACATCAACAGCGAGACTCACATCTACATCTACATCTACACCTACATCTACACCTACAGCTACATCTACATCTGCATCTACACCTACATCCACATCTACACCTACACCTACATCTACACTTTCGCATTGGTTTTGTATGCTATGTTATGCTGTAGTATGCTACGCTATGCTGAGCTATGCTATGCTATACTGAGCTATGCTATGCTATGCTATGCTATGCTTGGCTATGCACTGCTATGCTGTGCTATGCTGTGCTAATGCTGCGCTGCGCTATGCTGCGCTGCGCTAAGCTAAGCTAATGTAAGCTAAGTTATGCTAAGCTAAGCTAAGCTAAGCTAAGCTAGGCTAGGCTAAACTAAGCTAAGCTAAGCCAAGCTAAGCCAAGCTAAGCTAAGCTAAGCTAAACTAAGCTAAGCTAAGCTAAGTTAAGCTAGGCTAAGCAATATGAGATAAGCAACGCTAAGCTAAGGGAACGTCACTGGGGGAACCGCGGAGCGGATGCCGGGGGAACCGCCCGGGGCGTGGAACATTGCCCGGCCCTTTAAACTCACCGAGTACGAACCCTTCTAGGCAGAGCCTCGGTAGGGAAAAAAGCACTCAGATACAATTCATCGTCGATTCCCCAGAGAATATGGGAAAATATGGGAAGTGTGGGGGGGAAGACAAACACCCAGAAAACATGGGAAAAATATGGGGAATCCTGTTACTTGTGTCTATTTGTTTGTGTGTCCCAGGGCCTCTTTACTCGAGGAGGTTTTCGGACGTTTGCGGTCCCCTCGGAGGGCTCATGGAGCGCTCTTTCGGCGTCCCCCTAACATATTTTTACCATGTGTGCGTCTCCCCCCCCAGGGGCGATGCGCGCACCGAGAAATCTTGTAGTACATGCGTCGTGTCGGGCGCTCTCTGGCCACGCCGCTCGGGAAACGATCTGCTGCACGGTGGGTGTACTGTATGTTCCGGTCGGACGCGCGCCTCCAAGAAGGACGTCTAGTGTTCGTATGTCTCTGCGCATCCCATTCTGGCGCGCAGCAGAGTGGAGGACAGCCCGCAAGGAACCTTCCACAGCAAACCCAGCCATGAGCACGCGGCCCCTCACCGACGAGCGGGCGAGACGCCGCGCGACACCCGCGCGGCCGCGGCACTGGGCGGCCGCGGCGGCTCGGCCAGGCGAGGGCGCCGCGCGCTCATCCACGCCACCGCCGCCCGCACGGGCGCGGCTCGGCGCGAGCGGGCCTCGCGGCGCGGAGGGCGCCAGGCGACGAGCGGCAGCAGAAAGGCACGCGGGAGGTGCGATGCGGCTCGGGGGCGGCCAAGAGGGGGGGGGATGACTAGGGGGGGGGGGAATGTCGTGGCGTGGGCCACGACATCTCCCCAGATTTCGTCTCGCCTCGTCTCATCTCCGTGCGTCCCCTGCCCCTCCACCCCCCGGGTCGCGCACGTGCCGCCGGCCACGACCTGTGCCCCCCCCCTCTTGGACGCCCTCCTCTTGGCCGCCCCCGAGTGGTGTCTCGTGCACCCGTGGGGTTTGGGCGGCGAGGGGCTGGGGCGGTGCCAGGCGCCGGCTGGGGCGGTGTCTGGCGCGCTGGCGCCATCCAGGGCGCGGCCCTCGAACGCTCCGTGGGCCAGGAGGAGAACAAGCACAATAAATCGTCGACTCCCAGGAAAATATAGGAAAATATGGGAAGTGGGGGGGAAGACAAGAGCCCAGAAAATATGGGGAAATATGGGGAATCCTGTTATTTGTGTGTATTTGTTTGTGTGTCCCAGGGCCCCTTGGCAGTGGGGTCGTCGGGTGGGGGCGTAGGGACCAGCCAGCGGCTCTCGATCCGCTGCGCCGGTCCGAGAGCCAGAGGGCGCACGGCCGCCCCGACCTGCCCTACTGATGCCGGTGTTGCACTCCAGGAGCTGTCCTTGACTTCTGGTCCTCGTGCTTGCTATCGGGAGGAGGAGGAGCGGCCAACGAAAGCAGCCAGCGCGCCTGCTAGCCTCCGAAGTCCCAAGAGGGTGAAGTGCGTCGAGATCCCTTCCTCGAGTAGCACAGGAGCAGGACGAGGACGAGGCCGACGAGGACAACGAGGACGGGGGCGAGGACGACGATGACGACGACGACCTGCTCCAGCTCCTCCTGCTACTCCTCCTCCTCCTCCTCCTCTTCCTCCTTTGCCAGGCCACGCGGACCTGGAGAGAGGGACGCCCTTCCGCACTGATAGCATCGTGCGGCTGTATTGCATGAGCAAGACGCTCGTCGCCACTGGGCTGATGGTCGCGCCGCCCTCAACCCGCTGAGTATGGTGACGCTGCTGCTGCTGATGCTGCTGCTGATGTCGCCGATGATGCTGCTGCTGATGATGATGGTGATGATGGTGATGACGAAGACGACGATTCAGATACATATGATTATGCTGCTGCTGATGGTGATGGTGGTGGTGATGGTGATGATGAGGATGGTGGTGGTGGTGGTGATGATGGGGATGATGATGAGACGATGACGATGATGATGTTAAATATGATGAAGATGATGATGTTAATGCTGCTGCTGGTGATGAAACATATGGTGCTGATGATGCTGATGACGATGGTGATGCTGGTATTGATACTGATACTGATGGTTGTCCTGATGATGCTGCTGCTGATGATGATGATGACGACGATTATGATGACGATGCCGATCACTACGACGAAGATACCGATGCCGATGTCGATGACGATGATGTTGATGAGGAAGATGATGATTGTGATGATAATGAGGTTGATGGTGATGCTGATGCGGATGCGGATGCTGATGATGCTGCTGCTGCTGATGATGATCCTGCTGCTGGTGCTGGTGCTGCTGCTGCTGCTACTGCTGCTGCTGATGATTATGATGATGGTGATGGGTGATGGGGGCCGTGCTGATGCTGATAATCATGATGACGATCAGGATGAGAGCCTTTTGAGACTCGAAAGCCAATTCCGCTGGGCTGATGCCGAGGTGCACGCAGTCGACGAGAGTTCAGACCTAGACATGTATTGGGCGGTACTGTGCGGCGGACCTTGGAGTTGGGGTATCGTGTTGGATTGCACCGTGGACGCATGGGAAAACTCAGACTACTTAAACGTGCAATTATGTGCTTTCGCGCATCCGTTCAGGCCCGGGCGGCCCGCCGGGTCGGGGTGTCCCCCCCCGCTCGGCCTGGCCTCTGGCCTCTTCGTCTGTCGGTGGTGTCGTCCCCCCACCGCATCGGCCTTCGCTTTGCCGCTCAAATCGTGGTTGCTCCTTCCCCATACGGGGCTGGCGGACGCCTTCGGCACCGCTCTGACCCGTGCGCCCCCACCACGTGTGGCCGGTTCCCTGGGCTCAGGCTTGGGTCTTCCTTGTGGTGCTCTCGCCCGCCCGTCGCCCACTTGGTGTGCTGGCGTCGAACTCGTGGCCCTGTTCAGGACCCGTGGTGGGTCAACCTGGCGCCACTTCACGCACTGGTTCGTGGTGACCCGCGCCATTTTGGCTGCGTCGCAGCTCCGCTGCTTCCCGCACTCGTGCGTTCTGCTGCGTCGGGACTATGCGGCTACGGCCACCCTGGGATTTGCAGCCTGCCAAC